TTTAGGCTTCTCTAAGTTTTTCTTTATCTATTTAGTGTTTTCTAGAATGTTGATTGAAGGAGGTAAGTTTCAATGTTGCTCAGAACCGTCTAGAAGACATAATTGACACTTAGTTTTTAATACTGTATTAGAGCATACAACCCAAATCAATTAAAAATGCGTCGAGTAATCTCTTAATCGTATAAACTAACTTTAAATATTCATAATTGTTAGATATAATTTCTTCTCATACATTAAAGTGCCTTTAAAAGTACACATAAACGTTAAGCCTATGGTCCGGAAACATATTTCTCAGTATTAAAAAATGAGTATCGGTTCCCTTTCACATAGCCCAAAAGGCATTGATGACTATTGCAAGGACTTTAAGGTCTTAGGCATGGCAGCCAAACATCTCCTACCGGAGTAGGAGCGTTCTCTCTTATCAGCAAAAAATACGATCCTCTTGACGAACCAAAACAAGTGTCGGCAATGGTAAAACTAAATTTAGTCGAAGCAATTTTGGAGACCGAATGAACTATAAAATTAAAGTTCATGGCAAACATATCTGATGTCAAATAAACAAACCAGCTCCAAAAGTTTTCACAGAATGTCGCAAGGTTTCTTTTTTTCCTGGTTTTATTTATACTTTTTTTTTTCCAAATATCTCTAGTAGATATGCAAATCACTTGTTCATCTAAAACACATCAAGACACATTAACCAGGCTTATATATAATCAATTATGTCATGCAACAACTTTGAAAAGTAATGGTTTTTGTACGAAGGACAAATTCTTACCTCAGTATAGTTATCCTTCTCAGAAATGAATGATTGATTAAGCGAAGTTGCTGCACCTTTCCCTTGCAAAATGAACACATTGCGACAAACTGACATTTGACGCTGGAATTACTCTAATGTTTAAGTCGGTAAGGGATTTAAAATGAAAGAAGCAATTAGAGGAAAAGAATAAGGGTCTGATTGTTTACCAAGTTTGGATGGATTTAAAAAAATAGTTTGATAGACCGTTTAATTATATATTTCGTTAGGACTTTTAAACTCAAAATTCATATTTCAACCCGCTCTCAACTAGTAATGAATAGTCTCATTAAATGTCACGAGGGGGTCTAAAGTTTTAAAAGTAAAAGATTGAATTTAAAGATAAAATGATTATTTTACAAAAAAAAAAAAAAAAAATTATTCTTCTATCCACCTAATAATAAATATTTTAATAAATTGAATAATATAATTTGACATTAATCTATGAACCCCATACATATTTATGTCACCTATTAAACATGGCATTAAATTGAGTTTACAATTAAACACCAAATAAAAATTCCTTCAGTTGAATTTGAAGAGATTTTCTAAAACCAACACAATCTACCTTATGTGAATCATCCAAACGTGATCGTTCAAAAAAAAAAAAAAAATCATCCAAACGTGGCGTAAAAATACTATTCACGTACGAGGGTTTGATAAAAATCATGGATGGTGAGTTTCAAGAGAGAAAGAGAGAGAGAATTTATAGATAAAAATACTTATTTTACCTAAAATCTTATTTTTCTTTTCACTTAATAATGAACATTTTAGTTTATTGAAAAACATGATTTGACATAAATGCATAAATCTCATATATATTTACTAGCAACCTATACTTAAAGGCAAGATAAAATATTAAATTCGAACATTCAAAAAATTAATCTCACTATATCAAATTAGAATTTTTTATTTCTTTTATTTATTATTTAAAATTTACTTGTTATTTTATAAAATTTTCTCAAAATACATAATTCAACAAAATTGTTTCAACACATATACACTATTATATATAGACCATGTATAACATAAAAATTGTGTTAAATTATAAATTAATCAAATATTAAATAATTGAACATATGATAAAATTAAGTGATATATTTTTTGGAGAAAAAATATATAAGAGATAAAAATTTAATCTTATTATATTGATGTTGTTTGCCAAACATGAGATTAAATAAAATTTATTATTTTAATATGAAATTGAAATCTTTGGGGCTTTATGAATACACCAATCCCACCAAAAAACACATCCAAACAGGCTCTTGGTTTTTGAGCTACCATCCATATGGTGAAAGAACACGAGAGAGAAAGAGAGACAGAGACAGAGAGCTAGTTAACAAAATCAGAACTAGTTTGAAACCCCATCTTGACAAAATCTATCAGATATTCATAATTCATAACATCAAATTCATCATAAACAAGAACAATTTCTTAAACACCATTGAGTTTCTACAGTTTTTATTAACGCATTTGAGGGAGCACAAAACAAGCTCATGCAAATACTATCCAACCAACACATAAATTGCATATATAATTCCCGGAATATATCCAAACAGCGTCAGCAACAAACAGATCCAGAACTCTACCTGCATTCAGTCCCACCAAACATCAAACACAGTTAATTCACAAACTCTCAAAACAACAAATCCCAACAAAAATCTAACTGTTTCTCCTAAATGTGTCAATACTCAAATGTTAAAAAAAAAAATTCTTTACTTACTCCACAGCCATAACGAAGGAAGACCCCAACAGGAGGTAAGAGAATCGCCAGTAAGACTTCGAGAAACGTTTCAGAACCCATGATTAATGGTTAATGAACCTGCAATTTGTGAGAAGGGTTCTGCTAAATTTTGAGGATAGTTGGCGTAGAGAAGAGAGTCAGCTTTGATGGCAATGGGGTGAGAGAGAGAGAGCGGCAGGAGAAAAGAAGTACTGGGTAATGTGTCAGCTAAGACGGAGGTAGAGAGTTTAAAAGACACCACGTGGGAATTAGGGTTACACGTGTAATGACTTAGGAGTGTAATCGTGTCCCTTTCGACTCGGATCCATGACTGACCACTGTTTGTTTTTTTTTTTTTTTTTTTATCACTTGAAAAAATAGGTGCATAAGAGATAGCATGCAAAGATCACTATTTATTTTTTAGTCAACTAAAAGGCTATGTAGACACTCTATCAAATTATATATTAAAAAATTATTAACTTCTTCTCATTTATAATTATCTCACTACTAACTAAACATACCCTATTTTATACCCTTTTATTAATGACTAAATTTATCTCAATATTTATTTTTAGGTTTTTCTTTCATTACCACATCTCACATAGTCTATAAAAATATATTCAATCGGATTATCAACTAAAATTGAATAAACAATTATATATAGACTGTGTGATTCGATGAGAGAGATTTAATAATTTTTTTCTTTTCTTTTTCAAGAAACTTAAGACCTACAAATTCTAAGAAATTTTTTTCTATATATTGAGAAATTAAGTGTGCAAATCTTTTTTTCCTGCAAATTCTTGAAAGAGAAGCACATAGAGGAATTAGAATACTATTTCAACGATGAGATTAGAGAAGATAGAGATCGGACAATAACAATTAAAGTAATTTGCAGGAAAGAAATCCAGAGTGGAATCTAGTTGAGTATATTTTATGCATAGACGGTGTGAAATGGGTATAGAAAAAAATCATAAAAGTAAAGACTGAGATAAGTTTAGTTATTAATGGGCCAAGTATAAAATGGGTTAGACTTGGTTACAAGTGAGATGAGTATAAAATAGGTAAACTTAATAGTGATGAGAACAGAGATTTATGGAGTAAAAATAACCTCACCCGAAAACAAATCACAACAGTTTGTGAGGTGTTCATCTTTGTCCAATAAATTATTGAGGGGATTCAACAAGGAATTCTAATAATTACTTCAATCTAATACGCGATTTGAGTGTGTAACAACATTAAGAGAAATTTAGATTCAATTTAATTTAAATTCTTTAAAAGATATACCGAAAACTCATCTTGTGTTAGGTATTGTTATATCTCAACAGTACCCACCAAACGAAATGTGAATAATTCTTGATCTTGTGTTTGGGAAGAAATGTTACTGTTCTGGTCTTGTTTAATTTCCTAATGATGGAGTTCTCACCAATTACCCTTTTTATTGACATGATAGGAGTGTTGAGTAAGGTTAGTAAATTTTTTCATCACTATCAACACCAAATTTATGTTTCTACTGTTTCACCAAGTCGCTTGGCACAAGTACATCAGGTTTTACATCAGTGCATGTATGTAATTGATGGTGATATAATGCAGGCATTACAAGGCCTAAAGAACATGGTTTCTAAGAACATGGTTTTAGGTGAACAAAAACCTGCGAACTAATTAGGAATCTACAGTATTTCCTCTTCGCCTCACCATGACAGAAAGAAGAACAAAAACCTGCAAACTAATTGCCTAACCATGAGAACAACTTAGAAGTTGGCCATTTGTTCCCAGTCTTTACTCTTTAGGAATCTATGGCACCAACAGATATAAATTTTTCTTTTTGTGAAGCGATGACTAGTGTTCATCTGCCCGAGCAATACATTGTGGGCTAGAATTTGGGAATTGAACACTGCAAATTGGGGTAAGGCAGGCGACTCCAGTATAGAGGACCCTTGCACAGTGGTATGATTTCCATTTAGTTTTATTTTTTGTTGTTGGCAAAGTTGAGCAATATTGATGACTGAAATTGTATTAATTACTCAAGTAAGTGGGAAAAACCAATTCCAGGCTGTTGAAGCTTGCTTACTTCTTTCTGGCCTCTACCTTCTTGTCATCGAACATTTGCAGGAATCAAGAATTCTCATGTTGCTAAGGACTAATTTAAAGGATAAATAGACCTATACTAATTCACAGAGAGAGAGAGAGAGTATGAAGGCTTTATGCAGCACAGTTCAATGGAGCAAGGAAAAAGCATCACATAAAAAATGAGAAAGCTTATGTGATTCTGTTACAATAATTCATTTTTCTAATGTTTGCTTTGCAACCCAAGTTGAGATGCAGGTTAGGAAGAGAGAGAATGAATGAATCCAATCAGATGCCCAAGAATCAGAATTAGAATACAATAAAAGTAAAAAAGAATATATCGATGGAAAGAGAAGCCACTGCAGATCTGATAATAAGGTTATTCTGAGAAGCCACCACCCTCCTTTAGTTTTTTTGCCATTAAGTGCTCTTTGCCATTGTTCTTACAGCTCCACCAGTTCCAACTGCACCTATTCCACAGCCAAGCACACTGTATGTGTAATATCAGTTTAGAATTACAAGATAAAAACTGCTTCCCAACTGGTACAACTTGCATATGATTCAAAACACACACACACACACACACTTGGTTCCCTTTCCCTTGCTGCCTATGGAGTGAGTTCCTTGATAGCAATGAGCCTCGCCCTGTTAGCTCGCTAAGTGAGTTTGCTTCCCTCCATGATTGCCTTTAGGAAGGCATTGTCCCGGGCAGTCCTAAATTCTTTTATAAGCTACAATCTCATTCTTAAACCTCTTGGGACCCTCTTCATGAATTTCTTGAGATAGATTCCTATGAAGTTTCGTTACTGCATCAATAACTTCTTCTCGTTCAGTTTGTTCTGTTAAATGTAGAAAAATTTATGGTATCGATTTCGATATCACACAAAAAAAGATTAGGATAAGTTATATATATATATTTTTTTTTGAAAAAGACTAGTTATAATTCAATGAGATTAAAACTACAACTTAGTGTAGTTTATAATTTTGTGATTGATCCTAAAACAATCGAATGGTCCTAAAAAGTTGAGATCGCATCTAAGTTTTTTCTATCAATTTCATTGAATCGATCTTTTAATTTTATTTTTATTTTTTTTGCTATAAAGTTTTCAGACTTGCGTCGACTATTCACTAGAGCTCAACAATTGATCACTGTGGCTTGAGTTGGTTTAAAATATGTTACTAACGGAACTAGGATGTTTAACCCTTAGAGGGTGTGAAAAGGGATTGAATTTAAGACATCTGAGTTACTAAAAAACATGCCTAATTACTGAACTACCCTAAAGATTTTCGATCTTTTAATATAATTTAGTTGTAATTTGACTTGTAAATTTTGACATCTAACTAGTTACCACAAAATTTGGGTATTATTTGAGCACGTGGGTCTGCCAAAGTGCAGCTGGCAATGGGTTAAGCCCAAACGCAGACTCACGTGACAACGTGCTTCATGTTAGTGATGGGTACCTGTATTGGGAGGAGAAATTGATATGGGCTTTGACATCAGAGTTGGGCCTGTCACCATAGGTCCAGCTGTGTTTGGTGAATAAACGTGGGCTGGAAGGCCCATTGTCTGCGATTGATGGAAATGGTAGAAAGGGTACATTGGCACCAACGAGTTTGCACCCACAATTGGCTGACCAGTGTACACTTGAGAGAAATGGCCGTGGTTCATGTAGGACCCACCAGTGTAGCTTAACTTCTGTAAAAACACCACAGTCAATGGCAACAAAAACCAAGTTCTAATTGGGTCCCTCATTGGACAAATAAGAAATTAAAACTTCTAAAATTAAAAATACTATCATCGATAATTGTTTGCTTTGATATGCATACCAAAACCAAAATTTCCAAGAATTTTAATCTCAAACAATACTAGAGTTGTGTGGGTTACGTTGAACTGAACTTTATTTTTTAAAATTCGGCCTAATTTCAAAGGATCGAAATTTATATATAATTTCGTCCAAAATCATTTTCTCATTTATTCAACAAGGTTTTCACCATTATATTGTTTGATGGATTATTGAGAAAATTAAAAGAATCTAATAATAAAGTAGATACTAGATCTAAGAAAGATAACGTGCTTTCAATCAGCCATAGATCAATAAATGCGCATTCACAGCTCTATTTTTTGTTTTCCTTCTTTCTACAATGCTATTGGTTGCATTTAGATTAACAACTTACGTGGTTGTAACTCATATCTGTGGAAATGAAGTTCGGAGAATACCTGAAAAAAATAAGATATGTTACTACTACACCATAATTAGTCCATGAAGTAGATAGAGCACTGAATAAAGGGTGAATTACATTTTGTACCATCAAAAATTTAACAGGGTGATTTTTGACTTAAGAAGCAACAAAAGCTAACGGAAAGGTAAATTTAATCTTTGAAGGTGTAAAATAAGAAATCTTTAATCTTCCAAGGGTGCAAAGTGAAATTTCCTCGTGAATAAAATCTAATAGACAAGAGAGACAAATACCCATAGTAAGGAACGGCCTGATGGTGCTGATGATGAAACGGCGATGCAGGTGCTCTCGCCGGATAGTACCACTGCACGTGACTCGCAGGTCCAGGTGATGCAGATCTCGGTCCAATATTGGTGGCTTCATTATTAACATAATTTTAGTTAGAACACTATTATTTCTATGCATATTTATCAACGAAAAAAAAAAAAATTGGACCCCCATGATAACTAAATTAATTTAATTATGAATCCTAATATTTATTAAAATTTATTATATATTTAATAATTATAATTAATTAAGTGAACAAATTAAATTAATATTTTAAATTCAAGTAATACATGGTTGTGGAGGCGGGGTGGAGGACACCCTTGGGCGGCGTGCCCCGAGAGAAGCCAGGTTACAGTTCGCTCGGCGACCATTAATGATCGGCGTGGCGTCCTCGCAAGCCTTCTTAGCCGCTTCGGCTTCCTTAAACGTCACCTAACCAAAACATAACCACAGCGCACATTAGCAATCACCATCTCCACCGGGGACAAGAAGAAGAATAAAAAAATAGTCAACAAGAGTCAAATGATGACTTACGAAACCGTAGCCCTTGGATCTGCCGGAGACCTTGTCGGAGATTATGACAGCTTCCAAGATCTCGCCGTACTTGTCAAAATGGTCTCTCATGGCCTCCTTTGAAGTCTCCCATGCTAAGCCTCCCACGAACACTTTGGTCATCCTTGTGTCTCCACCACCCAACTGCCCATTGTTGCAGATCATCGTCATTTACCAATATATACGTATTACGTACAATTTTCCTGAGCATGCACTTCTTCTTTCAAGTTGAAGGCTTGGAACAAAAGAAAACCCTTCTCTGTAGAGAGAGAGAGAGAGAGAGAAGAGGGTGTGTATATAAGTGGACAAGTTGGGGGGGGAGAGAGAAGAGGAGGGGATTGTTGATTATGTACAACATGTGTAGGCTGTATATATATATTATATGCTATATGTATGTGGTGATGGAATACTACAATGGAGAACAACAAAGAGGGACAGAACAGAAGGGCAGACAGAGAGGATTATGTGGTGAGGCCATCAACGTGGTCTCCTTTTCATCATCTATCTGGCTTAATTACTGTGCTTTATGTATTCCTTAGTTTCTCTACAAAGCCCTATGCTTATGCTTTTTATTTAGAAGTTGGGTTGGAATGTACCTGTTTTTGGGAGAAAGTGGACCCAGTGATTCAGTACCTTAAGCCTATAGGTAATTAGTTGATTACTTATGATAGTTTGAGTGTTTTTTTATCCGATATCACACATATAACATGGTGACTCATAAAAAAAGATAAAAAATTTCATTTTTAGAAGAACAGACTCTTGTAAAGAGTGATTGGTACACAGTATTTGTAGAAAGTAATAGATCAGACTCAAGACCATGGATATGGGTAACTTGAAAATAAATATAATTTTTTTATATGGGTAATCTTTAGCGGTATTTTTGTTGATATTCAATTATTCCTTCAGTCACGGAGATTTCATAAGGTCCTTCCTTCGCCTATCAATCCAATGCCCACTGAGAAGTACAAAGTCAATAATTTTGTCCAAGGTGTAGTAGTATTGTGAATGCTTTTGTCTTGAAGTCATGTTTTGTGCCATGTTGTGTATTGAAGTTGTGATTAAGTTGGAATAATGCTATTACTCTGCTAAAACCGTGTCTTCTTGCTGTCATCACATGCCGGCAATAGTGGAAACAATAACCAAGGTTAAATCTAATTTATTGAATTAATTATTAAAATTATTAAATTAATAATGGATTCCAACCACGTATGGAAGTTTTTCTCATTCCCTTTGTATGGTTGGCTAACAAAAATAAAGGAAAACTTTATAATAATAGCAAATTTTATTGTGGGTAACGTTACACAGGTGATCCGCATGAGTAGTTTAGTGGTGTAGAGTTAAATCTAAACGATTAAAAAGTCATTATTATAGTGTCACATTATTTGATCTCTATTTTTTTGTCTCTTTTTTATTGTAAGTTTAGCATTATTTTTTTGTTATGTTTACAGGGAGGAAAACGTATTATCTTATGTTCTGTTTAGTATGATAGAATAATAGAATGATGAAAAATTTGAATGATAAATAAAACATCATGTTTGGTAAGGAAGGAAAAAATGAATGATGAAAAAATGGACAGATTAACTTTTCTTCCAACTCACCAAAATCAATCCCCCCAAAATCGGAAAGAAAATGGATAAAAAAATTAATTATTTCATATAAAAATATAATTATAATATAAAAATTAAAAATTAAATTAAAAAAAATTAAAATTAAAAAAAATATTTTTTTTCAGCTTAATTAAGGTTGAAAATTTTTGATTCAACACGATGACACGACTCGAACTTGAAAATGACCTGACAAGCGAATAAGAATATAAAAAACTCACAATTTTATGACTCAATACGAATCTGACACGACACGACTTGATTGTCACCGTTAATCTTAGCCATTACAAAAAAAAAAAAAATTTAAAAATTAATCATTTTTATTTTCCATCCATTCAACCAAACACAAAAGAAATAAAGTGTATCATTCCTACTTTTCATCCTTGAAAGATAAAAAATTGATCTTTCATACTTTTCATATTTCCTACCAAACAGGGTATTAGAGTCCATCTACAACGCTTTTCTACAGGGAAGAATATAAGAAAATTTCAAGGAAAAAAAATCAAAAAAAATAAAGAATTTGCATGTAAAATGAGGGAGTTCTAGCTTCTTTTTGCATCTAAGAAAAAAGAACAATTCAATACTTGTGAATGTGAATGTTTTTAATGTTATTTAGCTATTATCTATCAAAATTTGTTCACTTACCCAACACCTGATACAAACAACAGGACAATCACCGGTATTATAAACCTATTGTCTAATATAGACTCCAAATTTTTTTTAAAAAAAATTACATTTATCACATTCTTTTAAATACGAACAAATATATAATACAGAAAAACAAACTTAATTGGACAACAGCCCCTTGTAATCAGATCAGGCAGCTGATTGAACCAGAGGCATGGGAGGGCATAGGCTAGATAGAGACTCTGTTGAACGGCAAATCGAAAAAATTGGATATAAATGCGGAAGAGTTTTAAAACCATAATTCCGCAACCATATATAGTTTAAACTTAAAATAATTGTTATTGTATTTGTACAACAATTATGATAGATTAATGTTTATACTTTTTTGTGTTTTATTATAATTATTGTTGTAATTGTTTTAGATTTTAGTGTTATTAGTTTATTACGTTGTTAAATTGATACATGTTATTTAATTAAATTGTTAAAATAATCCAAAAATTAACAACGACAAAGGTGTTCACCTAATTTTCTACCTGACTTCATCTCTGATTAATTTGGTTGGAAGCCGGATAGGAATATAACACTTGATCGGATAGAGTAGGTCAAGAAAAAATTCTTTCGCAAAGTATCGAATAAGAAGACGAAAAATCATAGTATTTCTTATCAGTAAAGTACGATGAACACTCCTACCCATAATTAATAGTTTTTAATGTATCCAGATGTCCGTAATCGTTCATAAACCATGCCCACCGGATAAATGAAAAATGAGTCAATCTATATACAATTAATTATTGAAAAATGTCCTTCATCGACTCACCTGTCTGCACTATGAATAATTGCAATGCAGTTAAAATTAGACCTTATCTTGATGTAAATGCTGTAGTTGACTGCCTCCGAGCACATCCATGCTCTGCTGGCCACGATTTAAAACAAAAAAAAAATTGCGGTCCAAAAATATCGTAAAATGAGAAGAAATGGTATGTTGTACAAATGAAAATTCAATTTTTTTTTTTATCTCAAATACATTTGAACTTTTTTTTTTGGTTAATGGTGTCAAAACTTGCACCGACTATTTCTTCGAACTCAGTGATTAGTTATCGTAGCTTGAACTGAATTAGAACATATTCTTAAAGTGACAAGAATGATTAGCTTTTAGAAAGTATGAAAAGAAATTTAACCTCTAAAACTTTTAAATTACCAAATATCATACTCAACCATTGAACCATGTTTAAGGGTTCAAATTTTCTATCTCAAATACATTTGCACATTGGGACCCACAAAATAATATGTGAGATATAAATGTATTTAAAACGGGAGATTTGAGTTTTAATTTAAGTAATATTTTAGCCAATCTTCACGTTCAAAACTTGTAAAAGAAAAAAAGGTCATTTTGAAATATAAATATAATAATTATTAATCATCATTAATTCAAAAAAGAATTAAAACATCCTCTAATTAATTGAAAATGGGAAAAGAGTAAAACCGTAGTAACCACATCCAAAATTGCATGGTTTTTCTTTCAGACTTTTCCTCAGTTTTGGCAAGTATTTTCTTCTATTTTCTTTCCACTTTAGGTTCGACAAAGAAGAACAAAGGGCACGTGACAGTGGCCAGGGGTGTACATAACATTGCCCCTTCCCATGTAACGTGGCCAGCTGTATGGCAAGAGGAGGCATTTTTGGTAAAGGACAAAAAGGTCAGTTTGACCACCAAGAAACACCAGTTATCTCTTGCAAAAAGAAAATAACACCACATAATTTAAATAAAATTTAAAAAATTACGGTTCAAATATATATATGTTTTATCAACTTTTTCGGTTAAAATTTTTATATTTTATTTAAATTGTATAACATTTGTCAACAAATTGTTGCTTGGGATATATGTTTTGTTTATGAAGTTGAGGTGCCTGTGGAAAGGGTCAGTTGGAACCCTCGTGATTCTTACAGCATTTTCAGTAAGATTTTGTATTTTAACTTCTACAGACTTTTTATATTTTAATTATTTTTTTAAATTATTTCACATATTTTATACATTTGTTAAGATAGTTAGAGGGAGGAAGAGAGAGAAAGACAAAGAGTGAACAAGAGAAGTGAAAAAGAACAAGAAAAGAAAGAAAAAATTATAAAATATTTCTACAGTAATACTCTATATTTGAAATATCGCTGTAGCAAAAAATATTATTTTAAAACATCTGAACATATTATGTTTGAGCGTAATTTTTATCTTTAATTAGTTAAATTTTAACTATTTTTTAATTTTACACATTCTCTTGAAGATGATATTAGTTGGCAAACTAAACACTTTCCACCTCCTAACACTCTGATTATAACACCATGTGAACTCTGACATTTTGAGTGAGAATTTCAACCCAAATCAATTGCATAATGAAATCGTCCATAGTTACTACTTTGGAGTTCAGTCTCGCAATTCAAATAGGTAAGCAAAATGCATCTTTGAAATTTTGACATAATTAGTCTCCGTGACACTCACAATGCGTTTCTAATTTAACATGTGCGAAAAGATTTGGATCAGCACATGGTGTGGGTATAATAATGCATATACAGATGCAGAGAGAAGATAATTTAGAGAGAGCATACAAATTAAGGCAACGATCATGGCAAAACTGTGTGCCTGTGTGGGGTGGGATGGGGAGGCCCCGGGGGGGGGTTGCTTGAGCTGGCGAGCTCGTGCTGGCAAGAAATGATGGTCATGTCACGTCGTGGGTGTGGTTAATAATACTACAGTGAGACGCTTTTTCGTGGGATTAGATTCTTCAAATTTGTGCCAGCCATCTTGCTTGCTTGTGAGTTGTGATGTGAAACACAACACAAAAAATGTCACTCATCATATGCTCACAACTCACGTGCCCTTAACGTGCCCACCTTGCTGGACAACTGAAGGCCACGTGCTACGCGTCCTTTCACTCACTAGGTGTCATTGTCCTGGTGATCAGGAGTTGGGACCTCGTCAAGTCTCCCGACTGTTTTTCAATTCTCAGCTTTACCCCAATCTTTTAAAGTAGGTGACTCCACAAAAGACCCACTCCACGC